AGTCTTTTATTGGATATTTTAAAGAATTAATCCAAATAAAACCTATTTGCCAATATCTGTCAACGAGGGTCAATATTAGCTGATATCAGTACATCCCAAACGTGCAGATACAACACATACAGGCACATTTCAAATGAAGAGATTATCATGACAACCAAACAAATCCTATGCTGTCCTTTTTGTTTCTTGAAAAAAAATCCTGTATATAGACTTTTTTTTTGTTTTGTTGTTGTTGTTTTTGTTTTTTGTGGTAGCCGTGACTTTTTTTTTTTAATCATGAGAAAACAGTGTTTACTGCGATCCACCAAGGCTGTTCCACTGTGTGCGCGTGTGGGTCTGCAGTATCTTCATCAGGAGCCCTTTGCTTTGTTTGAGCTCCACACGATGCTACAGGAGCCATGACTGCTCTTCAGGTGTGCTGTTTCCATGTCACATTCTCGCTTATAGATGTTTCCTACATGCCACATAACAAGCTTCTGGGTCTTAATTTCGCTGTATAGTCACCCCTGTTATCACACCTTTGTTGAACCCCATGCTGGAAAGAGGGGACTAAATGAATAAGTCCATGTTTTTAAACAGTATCAGGAGGGTGGGTGTTTGGGTGGGGCATTAAGAGATCAGTCATCCCTGCTGGCAAGGTCCGTCCCCATATCAAGACAATGAAAATGATGATGATGATGATGATGATATTATTTAAGACAATCAAAGTCATGAGTGGAGCTCAAAACAAAGTGAGAATTATTACTAGTAAACAAAAAAAAAATATCTTACCATCTCAACTTGAAAATTCAAGAAAGATAATTATGTAAATATAACATAGAGTTATAGATTTATATTTTGTTCATAACACAGTGTAATATAAGTTGTATATTTCTTTTTTTTTTCTTCCTCTCCCTACTGTCTCTTTTATTGATGTTATCCATGCCACAGAAAAAGCAAGAGTCACAGCGCTCGCACAAAAAAAGAAGAAAAATATCAAAGAAATAAAGAAAAACAGGGGAAAAAAAGCCGTGGGCTGCCACCACCATCTGTTCTAAGTTCACTTTTTTTCAGTATTACTGCCAGACAAGGCTCTAATAAAGACAGCAATGTGTTCAGTAAAAAAACTTGTCCTGGTCCTGGTCACTTCTTTCCTCCACACATTCACACGGCTTTACGGTTCCCAACACCAACATACAAATGTAGACTGCCACTTTCCCCCTCTTTTTAAGGTATAGTGCAGTGAACACACCACAGCATAAACTCACGAGCAGACAGACAACTTTTTAAAGTAGTAGTAGTGCTGGGAGTGTCGACGTTTCTTCAGTCCTCTTTCTAAAGTGGCTTAATGTGAGCCCATGTGTCGCCAAACGATTCAATCATCTCCATAACAACGTGTTAATTATGCCAAGTCCACCTTCTTGCCCCTCCAATCAGAGGGCCAGCTGGGAGGCGTGGAGAAGAATCATGGCCCACTAGCAACCTGATAACCTAATTAAGCACAACAAGGGAACACGGGGAGACGGGCTGGAGGGGGGGTGTAAGTGATGAAATGTGTGTGTGTGTGTGCTAATCATAAAAAGAAGAAGAGTAGCCTATATTCGCAGTGTCCATATAAGCCTCCCCGGCCTGTCAGAGTGCTGGCTGTGCTGCTGTCACCAGTTTTAAAAGTGAAATCTTTAATTGATGCTCGCTTAAGAAGGTTGGGGATGTTCGTGCCTCCACTTCTGAAGGGTTAAAAAACACAAAACCCCACTCAGGGCGCCCATTAAAGCACTGTCCCCCCCATCTGTGTCCATATGTTAAACCCCCTCCACACGGCTCGACGCGCTGTGCGTGAAAACAGTTAAATGCACTCCAAGGAGATGATTTCACGTGCTTTGGTAATTACCATAACTACACACACACAGAGACCCTTTTGATGCAATAAAGAGGCAGGATGGGGGAAGATGCACAACTCCTACATTAAGAGGACGACTTCTTTTTTTTTCCTTCTGGGCTTTGTGAATTTTTCAGAGGCGGCCTGGAGGTAAAATCTGAGAAAAGGTTTATGTGTGAATAGTTGAGGAGCAGAGAGGGGATTCAGATCCCCCCCTTTTTTTTTCTTTATTGTCAGCAGTAGTGAGATGCTGGAGGAAGCAAACAGTGGCTATACTCAGATTAAATCACACACACACCCTAAAGTGTACTGTAGGAGTTTGCTCAGCTTAAACCACATTTATATCTAGCGGGTATTTCCATCACAATAGCTCAGACCAAAGAGGGGAAACTATTACAATGAGCACATATTTACATTTGAATGCCTGCTTATTTTTCTGATTTAATTTGCTCAAAGTTTTTGCGCAGGCCCAGTAGCCCGCTTGAAAAAATAAAACAACAACAAAAAATTGCGTGAACGCGCACCTGGCGTGACTGTGAGCGCGGCCCTCTGCCTGCACTGCCTCGGCTCAAATATACAGCTTTTTTTTTCTTCTTCGAACCGTGGGTGTTTGGAAATTGAGTGAAAACGATGTCACATTAATGATTTAAAGTCGGTAATAGGATGTGCTGTGACGCTGAGCCCCCAGCTAAGCTGAGTTTAAGGCTCCGGCGTTAATGTATTCATGAGGAGGAGGATTATACAGAGACAAGAGCAGCTAGAGAGCTGAGTGCAGCACAGCAGCCAGGGCCAACAGGCCTTCTAGATATTATATATAACTCCATTTATACTGCACGATGCAGGAGGTAGGACTGCACACACACACACACACAAAGGGTAAGGCGGGAATTGCTTTTGAAATCATGCAGCGTGAGCCTGGAATTGAATTTGATTGTATTAATGTTTTATTACTTATTAGTTTTTATCGATAAAGCTGGGAAGGATAGCAGCACACTGCTAAATTGCTAATAATTATCGCCGTGGTTGCTATACGTTGAATCTAAAACGAACCTGTTTAAATATAGTTTATTATATTATAAAAAAAAAGAAAAAAAGAAGAAAAAAAACTAGGTCCTTTATTTTGAAAATGCACTGTTATCTCATTGATTCTAGAGGCGAACACAATTTTTAAAAATGCAATTATATATTAATTCTAGACTACAACGCAGATCATTACACGATTGCGGGTCTAGTTGTCTGTTTTTTTTCCTCCTTCTTCTTTCATCTTTGATCCTGGCAGAGCAGCTAATCCTCAGTCTAACATACTAATGTCTACACAAACTGCAGCATCATTTACCCCCCCAAAAATGAAAGCATCATAAAAATGATTTCAGCAAGTACTTAAGCTGCCATTTTCCCCCAAATATTTCATCAGTCATGTCTCATTTTGTAAAAGAAAAAAGGGAAAAAATAAGAGAGAGGGGGGGAGAAAAGTGAAATAAGAGAAGAGGCTGTGCGCCTGGCCGTTAATATCAGGTGGCTGATGCATTAAGAGTCCATAAAATAATCCCTTATCAGAAAGCGTTTGCACTCAAACCATAAAAACGAAGTCACGTGGTGCAGAGATGTAAAATAAAATATAGACGTGCAGGCATATGGTATGTTCAATATATTTTTAAAAGAAAAAAAATCATTTTGGCAGATGGCCACCCAGTCACTTTATTCTCCGTGATTTAAGTGTGAGGAGCTTTGCACGCGGATTAATGTGTGACATTTCACATGTAGAACATATCGCATCATCACATGACAGCCCCGCTCGGTCCTTGTGTCTTTGCATGCAAACATGACAAATTACGTTCAATCACTTGTGTCTGGCATCTGTTCTTTCTTGGGGAAGGAAGGGGGGGGTGAGTCGACGCGAGAGCCTTGAGACAAACGGGGTGAGATGGCGGTGGGGGTGTTGATTGGAAAACATGGCCAGTGACCAAGCGGACATTAGCGGTAAATGGCCAGCGTGACCTGAGCGCAACTTCATCCGCTTCCCTCAGTCGGGGTCCTCCGACGAGCGGAGTAATCGGCGTGACACGAGGCAAACGAAAACAAAGCGTCGCCGGTGTTTGAGCGACGGGCCTAATGTGACAGATCTGAGAGCGGCGGCGTGTGAGAGACAGGCGTGGCACGCGGGGGAACAGCGAGGCCCAGGGGGCTGATCCCCAGTCGAGGCCGGGAAAACTGGCTTGCCGCCCCTGACACGTCGCCCTTCCGCTTCAGCCGCAGCTCTCACATGAAACGCTCGCCGGCTCAATCCGCCGGCAGCTGGCCTACTTTCAGCCCTGCATCCCCGTCGGTGCGTCTCCATCGACATTTGTTTATTTCCATTCATGCATCTGTGCAGAGCGTTCGTCTGCGTGTCTTCTCAGTGATTTGTGCTCCTTTCTTCTTTCATTCATAAGACTTCGAATGGGCGCCGTTATACCCTCCTCTTTAGCCTCTACCCTTCACCTTTGACCTCGTGTGTCCCTGTCGTCCTCCTGCAAATATTTACAAAATATATACAAGTCTTCATTTATATTTCATACGCAGGAAGCAGCCGACCTTCACCAAGTTTTTCTTGTTTGTTATCTTTTACTCTAAAAAGGTAAAAAACATGGACGTTTATGTAACAGGTTGATCGAACCATAATGGTGACATAACAAATTAGACAAGTCGAAATGACTGAACTCATCGCCATCAGATGCTAACGTGTAGGTGGGCCAATCACACGAGAGCAGCAGAACTTTTCACAGTAAACTTGAAAACAGGATGATTTTTCACCGCGCGGCAGCAGAATCAAAGCGAGATAAAGAAGCCCGTGGGTGCTTTAACGTCAGTCCGTGAAATATGTATATTTTTTTGTGGCATGAAAAAAAAAACCCTGTAAAACTGTTATTTTCTCTTCCCATCAACACCCTAATGCACACATGCAAATATTATGCTAATGGTATGTTAATTGGTGGAGTAGCTG